ATGAGAATCATGAGGTCAAAGGAACTGCCTGAAGAGCTCAGAGACAGAATTGTGGCAAGGCACAGATCTGGCCAAGGTTACAAAAAAAATTCTGCTGCACTTAAGGTTCCTGAGAGCACAGTGGCCTCCATAATCCTTAAATGGAAGATGTTTGGGACGACCAGAACCCTTCCTAGAGTTGGCCGTCCGGCCAAACTGAGCTATCGTGGGAGAAGAGCCTTGGTGAGAGAGGGTAAAGAAGAACCCAAAGATCACTTTGGCTGAGCTCCAGAGATGCAGTCGGGAGCTGGGAGAAAGTTGTAGAAAGTCAACCATCACTTCAGCCCTCCACCAGTCGGGGCTTTATGGCAGAGTGGCCCGACGGAAGCCTCTCCTCAGTGCGAGACACATGAAAGCCCGCATGGAGTTTCCTAAAAAACACGTGAAGGACTCCAAGATGGTGAGAAATAAGATTCTCTGGTTTGATGAGACCAAGATAGAACTTTTTGGCGTTAATTCTAAGCGGTATGTGTGGAGAAAACCAGGCACTGCTCATCGCCTGTCCAATACAGTCCCAACAGTGAAGCATGGTGGTGGCAGCATCATGCTGTGGGGGTGTTTTTCAGCTGCAGGGACAGGCCGACTGGTTGCAATCGAGGGAAAGATGAATGCGGCCTAGTACAGGGATATCCTGGACGAAAACCTTCTCCAGAGTGTTCAGGACCTCAGACTGGGCCGAAGGTTTACCTTCCAATAAGACAATGTCCCTAAGCACACAGCTAAAATAACGAAGGAGTGGCTTCACAACAACTCTGTGACTGTTCTTGAATGGCCCAGCCAGAGCCCTGACTTAAACCCAATTGAGCATCTCTGGAGAGACCTAAAAATGGCTGTCCACCAACGTTTACCATCCAACCTGACAGAACTGGAGAGGATCTGCAAGGAGGAATGGCAGAGGATCCCCAAATCCAGGTGTGAAAAACTTGTTGCATCTTTCCCAAAAAGACTCATGGCTGTATTAGATCAAAAGGGTGCTTCTACTAAATACTGAGCAAAGGGTCTGAATACTTAGGACCATGTGATATTTCAGTTTTTCTTTTTTAATAAATCTGCAAAAATGTCAACGATTCTGTGTTTTTCTGTCAATATGGGGTGCTGTGTGTACATTAATGAGGAAAAAAAAATAACTTAAATGATTTTAGCAAATGGCTGCAATATAACAAAGAGTGAAAAATTTAAGGGGGTCTGAATACTTTCCGTACCCACTGTATATATATATATACAAACAATACCTTTGTTGCAGTATTTATTAAGCTTTGTTAACGATAGTTAATTAAAATACAATTAATCATTTTTATCATTAATTTATTCATTAATCATTGTTATCTCGTTAGTCCATGAAATAATGTTTACATATACAACTTTTGATTTTGATAATTTATTAGTAAATGCTGAAATAAACATTAAGAATAATAAATGGTTTAGAAGTATATTTTATTGTTAGTTCATGTTAACTAATGCAGTTAACTGATGTTAATACATGTAACTTTATTGTGAAGTGTAACCAAAATCACATAAAAGCACCACGAATGCACCATATCATAAGTTTTGTGTTATGGCGAGAGGGATATTTTAAGTGAATGACCACACAAATTTCAGACATTATTGTCGGAAGACTTGGAATATATAGCGCACAATCCCCTTTCGTTATTCATCATTTTTCATTTTCAGATTTGAGGAAAAAAAGAAAGTCATACAGGTTTACAAAATCAGCAAGTGCCATAAATAAATTAGATTATTTGTAATAACTCATGGCTAGGCCAGGATGGCATCTGTGGACTTTTTTTGCATGTTATATGTTGAAATTGAATTAATTTTGTTGTTTGAATTTTTCAAAGACAAGAAAAAAAAAGTGAAAAAGTGCCCCTATTATGCCATTTCCAATATTGCCTTTCATGCAGTGTGTAATGTAGCTGTATGTGAATGTAAACGATCTGCAACGTTGTAAAGCTGAAAGTGCACGATAAATAAAGTTATTGTCTCCCAACATAAAGAATCAACGCTGAACAGCTGAAACAAGTCATTAGTAATTCGAATCCCACATTTGCATAATGCGCGCCTATGTTCTACGTTCGCCGGCCGCGAACAACTTGACCCCAACCACAAACACATCATTCTACTGACGACTGCTTCTCTAATCTCGGGGAGTTCAATAATGCGGGATTCACAAAATGCTTGCTGTTGAAAGATGGATCAGTATCCTGTTTATTTGGACCAGCTTCTCCACTGAATCACAACCTGTATGATAAATAATAGATGTTTATATTTTCTATAGAGTGTTCAAAATACAGAACTATTGAAATAGGTGTATCGTTTCCAACATGCGCTGTACGCCGTAGACCAATCACAACAGACTAGGCCATCTGACCAATCAGAGCAGAGCAGGCTCACGGAAAGGAGGGGTTTAGAGAGACTGAATCTTTGAACTGCTTCGAACGAATCGTTTGAGAATCGCTAGAAATTGAGGTGATATTAAATGCATATTTTGAGAAAACTAAAGCGTTTTTTGACCTTGCATGCATGTAATCCTCTTGTAGGAGACTCCCAAAACAATATTAGGAACCGTAAAAATGGCATAATAGGGGCACTTTAAAAAAGCCTGAAGCATTGTTTCAAAAACACTTGAAAATCAGATTTTTTTGTGCCTCTACTACCTCAGTTGGATGACTTGTATGAGGACTCAAATCTACAGCGCGAGTCTTAGTAGGGCAAAGGGGACGGAAGGAACCTAACACTTACTTCTCTGCATTCTTCACCACTTTGGACAGCAGTTTGGAGGTGGAGGCAGCTTTCACCAGCTTATTCCTGTTCTCCTCTCCGCTGTCCCACGTGGTACTCTGAGAACGCTCCATTCCTCCACGCTTCGCACTGCTACCCCTGCTGCAGACGCAAAATACACAGGAAAAGCATGTAAGGGTTTCGCTGGAAAAGAAAGCGATAGCAGAGAAGCTGAAAGACGAGTCCAGGGGAGAAGTTAAAAATTTAGAGGAGCGATATTATAAGCTTGGAGGAGAACAATCCATTAAATTTAAATAGATCTATATAGACCCACCAAAATGGGTCACATGTTCATTCAGACAATTTTACTTAGGATGGAGTGCAAAGTCTAGATGCTAACTCTATCCAGGTCCTCCAAACTCAAATAACCACTAGTCTTCTTTGGTTAATTTCAAACTGGAAGCCAGAAAATAAGCAACGCCCCTTGAAAGTCAAAGATGAATCCCTCAGGTAAAAGATCATGCATATGCCAAAGCACAATTCGCTCGATGGTTAGTACACACAGGGGAGCTGAAAAACTTGTAACCTAGTCCAGTGGTAAATTGCATGAGATTGTTCGGGAAAAAGACGCCTCACAGCATAGCTAAAGGAAGGTAGAGAAGGAAACACATCAGAGTTTTAGAAAGGGAAAACAGAGGAGTGTTATCCTCACGCGAAGCTGTTTGCAAGAAGAAAATGTTAAGAGTGTAAAAACAAACTTGTTTTCTGGACCAAAGCTTCTACACTAATACTCACCAACCCAATGTCCAATTTATTCACTATGGGAGCTGAACCAGAAGCTCATTTTGACAGAAAAGTGGGAGGTGCAACAAAAATGCTGGGAGATTCTGAACTTTAAGCAAATTAAGGCCAAAAAATAATAATAATAATTAACGATGGCTCATCTTGGGGCTTGAACCAACAAACTTCTGGTCACCAGCCCTAAACTTATAGCCATTTACACCATATCTCTCAACCTTAGCGGAGAATATGAAGGTCAAGGCAGGGGAGCATGGGGAAAAAATTTGGTAGAAGTGATCCAGAAACTCACAGATGTACACACAAACATTAAAGCCAAAAGTATACTTCGGTTTTTAGATATAATTCTCTACACATGTACTCGCTCCTTGAATGCACCTTGAAGTTTCGCACAAATTAATTTGCCCACAAGTTGGTTCGGACGTTGTTTCACAGTTGAAAATGAAACTGAGGAGACGGCACAACAACAAACTTGTCAAGAGTGCACCAACAATAGACATCCATGTTACAAGCGCTTGTGTGAGGGAGTTAAGAGATACTCACAATTCTAATTTAAACGAGTACGAAGACATTTTTATCAGTCATAACTTCTACAGAGAAATAGCGCAGACACTGGACAAGGATGAAACTTTCTAGAGTGCAAGTGTCGAACGTCTGTGTTTAAACGGTGTATACTTTGAAAGGCTGTGCATTCGGCTGTACGCATATGCTAAGAGTTCAAGTTGAAACTGAAGTATACTTTGGGCTTAAGGCCATTAAACAGGTCAGAGCTGTAGCAAAGTACCTCCAACCTCACCAAACATGGGAGTAAAAGAGGAGGGAAGGGAAGTGAATGGATAGTACTCCAGGGCAGAGCGGACACACTTCCACATGTGAAAAACTGGCTTGAGTTCTACATATAGGGCCACCTGTGAGGTATACAGGTCTAACGATGTCGATCCCTAGTATATGTGTGATAAAAGTTGTCTGAGTGCTCCACATGACTGTATTGTAAAATACCATCTATCCAAAAATGACCATGTAATACCATGGTACTATCTTATTTGGTCTACTAGCTACACCAGTTGAGTTTTGCTGGTTAACTGCATTACTAGCAGAAACCTAGACCAGCATTAACATCTATGCTAGTTTGTCGTCTTATAAGCAAAAAACACCACGTAAAATTTATCCATCCTGCATTTACTGCGTTTTTTTTTTTTTTTTTCCCTAAGAGTTCTTCTTTTCCAAGAAAATAAAGACATCACATAACCATCACTATATTGCCATCCGTGCAATCTCTGCAAGATTTCTAGAACACATTGTGCTAACCACAACAATCACAAATTTAGCATCGCTGATGCTAATTATCTATAAGAAAGCTTAATTCTTTGCTAGTGTGAGTGGAATACTCATTGATTGCAGAGGCTTTTTTAAGTAATGTGACTGTGGCAAAATCCAGGCTAATAATCTTCTTGCTGCATCGTCTAACAAGCATGGATCGGGCCGTGAAATGACATTACGGAGACAGCTAATTGGTTTTCCACTTCTCTTTAGCTAATTGGATGGGACAGCTTGCCGAGTCAATATGAATAACTCAGCAGGCGGGCTCTTGGGTTATTAAGTACAGACTAGAAGGTTTGCTAATGGTGTTGAAGCATGGCTGGTCTAATGTGTTAGCCTGATTACTCTGCGGATTATTAAGCAAGAACCAAGGGTTTGAGCACTGAGAGGACATCACATCTGCTTTCCATTACTTTCCACTTCTGGGTGGACTGCTCAGAGTGATCCAGAGCATAACACATTCTGACCTATACTGTCAGCCTGATGCTAGCAGGACATTTAGCATAGAATGAGGGACAAGCAATGATAAATGATGAGAAAGCAATAATTTGTTCAGATAAAATTAATTTAAGAGCCTGGAAATTAGGTTTTTATAATGCGTATTGATGAAAGTTGTGCGTAAGATAAAAAAAAAAGAAAAAGAATAAACATTTTTATTCAGGATGTATTAAATTGATCAAAAGTAAATGATGGAAGTAAAAAGTTAAAATACTTTTACCAACAACAACAAAACTTTTCCTATATATATATATATATATATATATATATATATATAAAATTTAAAATTATATATATATATATATATATAAGCATAAGATACCTTTTTAAAAATACATTAAATAATAATAATTATTCTTAATAACAAATTTTAATACTGATCCCCAAATTTTTAACGATATTGTTTCTATTTAAAAATACATTTATATATTTTATATTGTTTTTATACCTTTATATTGTTTTTATACTTTATCAAACTTATCAATGAGAAGAAGTGAATCATTTTATTAATTACTTTGTAATGTACCTTTGTTTTTGATCTAATAACAACATTTCCAATGCTTTATGGGATGAGTATTACATTTACTTTAAAGAACTGTATTTTCCTTCTTCAAATGAAATGTTTTAATGTTGTGACTCATCTTGGATTTGGTTGGTTTGGTCCAAGACATTTAGTTAATAATTTTTCTAAATCCCTATGGAGAAAATGAATGGGAAAAATACTTCCGGAACCAAGGCAGATAAAAAGTGGACTGTTGTGAATAAAAACTGCTGTGCTCTATTGATCTTGATATTGATTGAGGAAGCATGTCAGCCCTGCCCCTTGGCTTTATGTCAATAGGTTGCGAAAGCGCTGCAAAGCAGATTGCCAAACGCTGCTTGAACACTGCCAGAAATTGCATGGCTGTTGGTATATATATATATATATGAATGGTCTTTTTTATATTAATAATAGCACTTTACAATAAGGTTTCCTTAGATAACATTAGTTAATGCACTGTTAACTAACATGAACAAACAATGAACAACTGCATTTTTATTAAATAACATTAAGATTTATAAATACTGTAAAACATATCGTTCTTTGTTAGTTCATGTTAGGTAATGCATTAACTCATGTTAAATATATGGCTTGTTTCTGCCACAGGATAAAAAAATAAAAATAAATAAATAAAAAGGTAATTGCAACTTTTTAACTGCAACTTTTTCTCAGAACTGTGAGATAAAAACTCGCATTTGTGAGAAGAAAATCCAGGATTGTGAGATAAAATGTTGCAAATACCTTTTTTTATTTCATGGCAGAAACAAAGCAAACAAATAAAATAAAAAAAAAGACTCAGCATTCAGAGGGAAAAAGTCAGATTTTATTTATTTAATTCCATGGCAGAAATGCGCTTCCCTATAAATGGGACCTTTTTGTAAAAATGTTACCAAATTCATGCAGAATATTTTATGAATATTCATAAAAAAGTATGAATATTTTAATGCTGAACATAACTATATAAGATTCTAAATATAAAATATTTAAATATTATATTTAAATATTCAATAAAAGATTTAAATGAACTAAAGAAATTTCCAGACGCTTCCGTGACTTAAGATTCTATTGATTTCTATGACTTTTGCATGCTTGGAAATCATCAAATTAAACATGCTCAACAGTCAGGAAATAGAGATAGACAGGATAGACTGGGAGGATCGTGTCTGACTTAAATAGGGCAGCAATCCAGACATGCTAACTGGATTAGTCACCTGATATACTAGTCCATCTAAATTACAGTACCACTGACATAAAAAGATGCAATGACATTCATACTGTAAATTGTAATAAGTGTGGCTTAAGTGTTCAAAACTTGGTCCCACCGTATGCAGAATATTTCAAATAACATGAAATAAAAGACACCATAGCAACATCAAGCATTTTCTACACTGATGATCATAAGAATTTTTTTCTTGAGCAGCAAATCAGCATATTATAAACATTTCTGAAGGATCATGTGACACTGAAGACTGGAGTAATGATGCTGAAAATTCAACTTTGACTCACAGGAATAAATTATTTTTTTTTTTTACATTTGATTTTGAAGTAATTTGTATAGACAATATTATGTATATATAATGTTCTGATCTGTATTCTTAACATATAGTGGGCTCCAAAAGACAAGACCAGAATGAAAATCTGTCATTTATTTTCCATTTTAACCTGGTTTTGAATACATTATTCTAGTGTATATTATACATTGCAATGCAAAAACTAATTAAATTAGAAAGAAAAAGAATAAACAACAGAAGCAGTCTCAGATGTCTGGATCCTAGCTGAGACACACAGGGGGGGGTTGCTGGAAGGGGATGGTGCCTGAGGGGTGCTGGGTGCTGAGGGGGTTTTATCGTTAGCTTGTGGAGGCTCTTCTTTCTCCTTGATCCCCTCCATCGGAGGCTTGTCTTTTTTACGCTCGCCACCACTGCAAAAACAACATGCAAGTCAACAGAGGAAGATCTGATACACATGAAAAGATGAGGAGAGCTGAGCATCTCAACACTGAGGTGAAACACTCACAGACTTTCAGATTAATATATTTCTTCAGGATGAAAGAACATCACACATTAAACAGAGAACATCTGATTGGACCAACATTTGAATATGTCAGCGAAAGATTCGTTTTTTGGAAGCATTTTTCCAGACGACTGTACATTTTAAAAGTGTCAGTCATGGAGGTTTGCCACTACAACTTATTGTGATTATCTCCCTAATCTAACACACCTGCTTCAAATCATTAGCGGAGAGCTGAAATGGGTCAGAGAAGGGAGACATCCAAAATGTGTAGAGGCGGCTGAGATCATTTGCATATTTCAGTTGTGTGTGTGTGTGTGTGTGTGTGTACCTGGTATTCCCTACATTTTGAGGACCAAATGTCCCCACAAGTATAGCAATACTAGTGAATTTTGACCTTGTAGGGACATTTTTTAGGTCATAAATAGGGACATTTTTAGAAACAAGCTCATAAATCATACAGAATTAAGTTTTTTTAAATTCTAAAAACGCTTGTAGTTTTGTGTGAGGGGTAGGGTTAAGTGAAGGTACAGTACAGTATAAAAAACATTACATCTATGGAATGTCCCTACAAAAAATAGAAACCAGTGTGTGTGTGCACACATTACCTCTTAGCGGCAGAGGAGAGTGTCCCTTTCCTTGCTATGGACACTGTGGAACTATCTCTGTGAGATTTGCGGACACTGGAACTGCCATTGGCAATACAGGACATTGAATAGGCCTCACGCAGCGGGGTCTGACCTGCAGGAGACACGTCACACATTGGTTTTAGTCCATCTTATACCTCAAAACAATGACTGAAATCTCAGCATTGCAACAAATTTACTGCACAGACCTTCTATTAGGATTGCCACACCCTTTCACTTTTAATTTTCCAATTGGATATATAACGCTTCCGTGACTTAAGATTCTATTGATTTCTATGACTTTTGCATGCTTGGAAATCATCAAATTAAACATGCTCAACAGTCAGGAAATAGAGATAGACAGGATAGACTGGGAGGATCGTGTCTGACTTAAATAGGGCAGCAATCCAGACATGCTAACTGGATTAGTCACCTGATATACTAGTCCATCTAAATTACAGTACCACTGACATAAAAAGATGCAATGACATTCATACTGTAAATTGTAATAAGTGTGGCTTAAGTGTTCAAAACTTGGTCCCACCGTATGCAGAATATTTCAAATAACATGAAATAAAAGACACCATAGCAACATCAAGCATTTTCTACACTGATGATCATAAGAATTTTTTTCTTGAGCAGCAAATCAGCATATTATAAACATTTCTGAAGGATCATGTGACACTGAAGACTGGAGTAATGATGCTGAAAATTCAACTTTGACTCACAGGAATAAATTATTTTTTTTTTTTACATTTGATTTTGAAGTAATTTGTATAGACAATATTATGTATATATAATGTTCTGATCTGTATTCTTAACATATAGTGGGCTCCAAAAGACAAGACCAGAATGAAAATCTGTCATTTATTTTCCATTTTAACCTGGTTTTGAATACATTATTCTAGTGTATATTATACATTGCAATGCAAAAACTAATTAAATTAGAAAGAAAAAGAATAAACAACAGAAGCAGTCTCAGATGTCTGGATCCTAGCTGAGACACACAGACTTGTGTTAAACTAGCATTTGGCCTTCTTGTGGTTGTCCTGAAACACTACAGAACACACTGAGGTGTCCATTTGAGCTTGGGATTCTCACGCTAAACGTCGGTGCCATGATTGCAATGGTTTGCATCAGCCATGCTATTTAAAACTCTCTCTGAATGGCCTGCATGTGGAAATGTCTGATTTAGGTTCTTGGCTGCTCACCGGTCGCTTCACTTTGACCCCTTAGCTTTGTGAGAGAGACTGATGCCTGTGTAGCTATTGTGTTACGGCACCCTGCAGTCCTTGCGTGGTGGATTCGATTAACCGTTTCTCTCCAGGGCACGCGTACGTGTGTATATTATCTTAGGAGGCGGCGATGCAGTGTCAGTACCACATGGCTCCGTTTCACGCTCCATTAGCCCACAACAAAAACACACAGTGTGTGGCTGAACTCATCAGACTGTTGAGAGATGTGATGTGTGCGTGCGTTTGAAAAAAACTTCAACCACTTCTTTTCTCTACAGTGTTCCAGATAAAATCAAGGCATGTTTTTTTTTTTGGAATGTTTAGAAATATTTAATGCATCAACAAATTTAACAAGATATTAATGATCTAGTTCTCTTGGTTTGTTTTAAAATAAAAATCGTTCCAGCTCCACACAGAATCTGCAAGTTTTTGTATATTTTCTATGCTGATTTCATGGGACAATCTGCAAAATTCTGTGAAATGCATCTAAACACCATACACAGTCTTTATTGCTACGGCTGCCTACAATGAACAATTATTTTGATGATCAACTGATTCAGCAATTATTAGAACTACCAGTATGTTTGCAAATGGACTGTATTGTTTTGCCAATTGAAGGAAAAAAATTAATATAAAAACCTTAGAACAACTGATTGTCATTTCAGCTTTTGTATTCAACATGTGCTAACTAACTAACAATAAAGACAAGATAAAAACATATTAAAAAATACCACAGATAAACTACCTAATATTAATTAATATTAATATTACAATTTATAGTAAATAATAATAATAATAATAATAATGTTGATTTATGCATTTGGAAGACACTTTTGTCTAACATGACCTACATTGCATTATTATTATTATTATTGTTGTTGTTGTTGTTGGTTTTAAGGTTAGGGTTAGTTAATTATTATTAAATGTTAATAATGTTTAATATAATGAATAATACTAATAATTACAAATAATATATATATATTACGAATATACAAATACAGTATTAATAGTTTTTGATTTGTATTATTAATGATGTTTGTGTTGTTGCTAATTATTTTTAATAGTAGTGGTAGTAGTAATTACAAATAATATACTACTAATATACAAATATATTATTATTATTATTATACCAAGTCCCAGGATTATGCACAAAAAAGGAAAAATGCACTTTCAGGCTCTTAGGAACAGAACTCTAGCAAAATGCACAAAAAAAAAAAATTTAAAATGATATTCTGACAAAGTCATATTACATTCTTGCCCCATTACTGCTAGCTGAAAATTAGGCAAAATATGTAATAAACAAACATGCATGGGGTAGGAGAAGGGTCAAACTTTTCGAATTACAGACACTGTGATTCTGTGGACGTTGGGCAGTCATAAAGGAATTCTGTGTTTTTCCATGTTTAACAGTTAATGTCAAACAAACTACACGGTCTTTTATTTTTGACATCATACTGTTATAATTAAGGAAACTTAATCTTTCAGACTCGTGTCTCAGTAATAGGTGACTTTACTGGAAGCTCCCACTGCCGTCACAACAGACCATGCTCTTTGGGTCAAAGAAATATTTAATGTGTGTGTTTAGGGAGTTGGCTTTCATGGACAGAGATTGAGCATTCAAGCATAAGATTATCTTTTCCTGTGTACGGTTCTGTATGGGTGGGTATGTGTATGTGTGTGTGTGTGTGTCTAGTCAGCACAGCCGCACAGGAAGTCCTCATGTGACCTCACTCCAACAGGAAACCAAGGAATTATCTGCCTTCCATCAGAAGCCTGTCACTAGCCGTTCGTCTCCAAAACCACTGGTATTCTCCATCACTTTCATGCTCAAAATACAGGATAGTTTGCTGGATTTACGTATATAGTCACTCTTAATCACATTCAGGGCACTTCATATGATAGAAGACACTCTTACTAGCATTAAAAACATCTCGATAACAGCCTGCCTTACTGAACCAGACAGCGTGCGGAAATCGATTCAAATTTATTTCACGATAAACCAAATAAGTGATCAGAAAAATCGCAAAAACAATAAATCAAAGTATAGCATTCATCTGTAACTGGGAAAAGTGGTTTGTGAAGGAACCAGCGCTTCTCTGTTCCTTAGTGAATTCAGCCCTTTCACAGATATTGTCCAGAGAGCAGCTGGTTAAGGATACACTGAGGTTTGGGAGAGGACTTGAGTGGAAAGACTGAGAGTTTGGGGAAAGATACTAGTGTGTGGGGGATTATGGGAACTGAGGGGGAATAGATAGGGGGATTGAGTGTGATAGGAGCAGTGAGTCAGCATGGTGAGAAAGAAAGAGAAACGGAGGAGTAAAAGTGAGAAAAATGGGTCATAATGGGCGCAGTGAGTAAATATGGGCAGTGGAAAGAAAATGTGCTTCATTCAGGGACTGAGAATGTGAAAAATGAGAACTAACAACCATCATATGACACAATTTATAATGAAAATGAATGAACAGAAACAAAAAAAAATGTAAGTGCAAGTACTCAAAAATGCATATTTTTTCCCCCACAGAAATGCACATTTGAAAGTAAATAAATTCATTTTAAATTATAAATTTACTGGTATTAATAACAATAACATTAAATGTAAATAAACTCCTAATTTATACACTATTGCTCTAAAGATTTGTAATGTTCTTTAATACATTTCTTAAACGATTCATTCATTTGAGCAATATTGTAACATATTACTACACATTAAAATAACTTATTAATTTTAATATATTCTGAATAAATGTCATTTATTCCTCTGATGGCAGAGCTGAATTTTCAGCACCATTACTCCACTGTTCAATGTCACATTATCTTATTATCACATTTCTTATTATCAATGTTAAATACAGTTGTGCAGATTACAAATGTCTTTTTGTAATGTCATTTATGATGTCATGTATTGCACCCTTGCTGAATACATATTAATATTAATTTCTTCAAGAAATCTTTCTGATCCCAAACTTTTGAACAGTAGTGTATAAAATATTTTGACTGTAGGATTAGATTGGAACTGCTTAAGAGAAATATATATATATATATATATATATATATATATATACAGTGG